ACTTGCGTCTTGATCTTTAGAGAAGTGGCACCACTGGCAGTCACCAGTATTTAGAAGTCGGCCCGTTGGAGTTGTGTCAAAGAAACTCATTGGACTATCAATAATCTGCAATAGGAAAACAAACAGTTCATCTGTAGCTAGTAAACGTTCCCAGTTTTGGACTCAATACATTTGTGATAAGTAAACCCTTATACATATTTAAAATGACCATGTGTAATGGTGAGTAGCAGAGATTTCTATGGTTCTGAGAATTCACAGTACCTTTTTGAACAGCATGTCATGGAATTTGCAGGAGGCCTTCAAGGTGAAATAAGTGTAGATTATGGATTTCACAATGGAAAGTACAACAATGACAACCACTGTTGCAGCATAAATAACCTGGTAGAAGTGAAGGTGTGGATTTTGAGAGATTTCTCCCTGGACTGCAGTTGTGTTACTGGATGACTTGGAAATAAAAACATAAATTAATAAAAAAAAAGAAAAGTTAGTGAAGTCAGACAAAGTCATTGTATACATAAACGAATGATTAAATATCATTTCCTAAAACTAGAAATAAGCAGAATTTGAGGAGTCAGAAACAGTTTTTCGCTTGCTACATCTGCCAGGCTTGGTCTATAATGTGTGGCTCTCTGGATTTTAAAATCACGATACTTCTCACTCAAGTTCTTGACACTCAGACATACAAAGTTACCACAGGATTTCATCTCCTGCTTTGTGAGCATCAAATACTTTTCCTCAAACTGATTTCTTATGTTTCAGGGATGACGCTTACTCAAGTGACAGCTAAAACCCTTGCTGAAATTTGTATACTGTCTTCAAGCTGAAAGATGACCCTCAGGCATTCCAAAAGGCATGACTTCTTACCCTCTTGTGAGTTGAAGGCTCACAGAGAACTATTTCAATGTGTGTGACAGTGATAAGGAATGAAATAATTCTCACCCCATCACCACTTGCCACCCAGAAGCTAAACCACCAATTGCTGAAGACTGTGGATCCTGCCAACAGGAACATATTCAGGAGGATAATGAAGGAAACTGTGTAGCCTGTAACAACAATGAGCAGTTTATGCATCACAAGTTTGGCTGTGCATTATTGCTCATAATAATGTATCCACAAGCATATGCAGCATTGGGAAACAGGAGTTAGAGGAAGAATTTACAGTGTACTCAGTGGTAGTTATATGGAGGGGGGGGGGGAAACAAATGAAAGCTACTGATCAATATGTTGATATCTGACCGATTCTCTTGTTTTCTCTAAACAACCAAAGTCTGGTCTGGAGTAGTTCTTGGTCTTACAAATCCATTCTTGTGAAGCGTTGTAGTGATTTATTTTCTTTGAGACTACAATTCTTGACTTTGCCAAGTAGTTAACAAGTGTCTTGGCAGTTGTGAGGGGATGTTTAGAACCTAGTATATATAGCCAAGCTTGTTTAACACCAGCGAAAAGGCTAATATCGAATCCTTTATTTTAAACTTAAAAATAAATTAAAAACTGACATGCAATAACTTTCTGTGCATTGATAAAACAATTTATAAACAAAAAACATGCAATTTAATTTCATACATAATCCCAACACTCCATGTGTGAATAACAGACCTCCAAGTGCCTGGGAGTATGTGCAGTATGTTCTCCAGGAGATGGCACCTTTTGTAGAGGACTCCTGACTCACTAGCTGATTACCAGCTGGGACAGCAGCTTAAAAACAAAACAAATGTATCATTATAGAATGAAAAAGAAAAATACACATTTTTATTAGCTGACATCTAATATCTGAATTAATTTTCTTTTAAACTTGCTCTTCAGGGAAAATATGTCAGTTTAAATCAAATGTTTTCACACCAGGATTCTCAGTGCCAGTGCTTGCACAATGTCTGAGGTCAATCTCTTCCAACTGGCCATCAATAAATGATGCTAGGGCCATGTCCCCAGCTTTCTTTTTCTTGGCCTGACAGAAGAAAAATAAAAAACAATAAATAAATATCAGGGACAGTCTTACAGCTCAGTCTGGATAAGCTTAAAACATTGACACTTATGGAACACACACTTTGTTTTACAGTCAATTTTGTTTCAATAATAAGGACAGTAATAGAACCATGATACATGACACCCTTACTTTGGACTCTTCCATCTGGTAGGTACTGATGAGCTGAGTATAGCGTCCATCAGCTCTCATCAGATCCCTGTGGTTTCCAGACTCCCATACTGTTCCATTGTCCAGAACCAGGATCTCATCACAGAACT